AAAAGATGCTCAATGTTTATTTGAAGGTCACAGCTGGGGAGAGCATGTCTGTGGGGTCATGGTTAGAACATAAATATGTCTTATACAGCCTCTACCATTCCCTTGATTACTGTTATTTCATGATAGCTATGATCATCCAGGATACTTTAAGGCATCTAGATGTGGGGATCAGTAATAAAAATGAAAAATCACATTTTCTTGTCTTTTTTTTTTTTCTTGGAGTGTCAGAGAAGATGTGGGAGATTGCTCTTGCATCTCCACCTGCCTAGCCCATATGGGAGGCCATAGGCACATGGCACACTGTGTCCTTGGCTGACTGAGGCCCCAACATGGCCTGTTCACTGGGCATGAAATAAGAGTGATGGACTGCACCCCAGATTCTTCTGTGCCTCTTTAATGATCTGTGCTCCTTTGTAAACAACTCTAGAAAGTCAAATATTACATTAATCCTACTTTTCAGCAGGTAACGAGTTTGCCCTGGGATACAGCTTCCTGGGCTTCCTGTGCTTCCTGATCTTTAACTTCATTGAACGTTCCAGAGAGATAGATATATCTATTAGCCAGTCACAATGTTGTTGTTGGGTGAAAGTACTGTCAGGGTCGCCATTCTGCCTGCCTTCTTCTCCTATATAAGCTTGTGACTTCTTTCAAATAAACGGGGATCCTTCACCACCAGTTTGTCTCCAGTATCTCTGCTGCAGAAGCGCACTGTCACCTAACCATTCAGTGGTCTTGAGGTCTGCTGGATAGAAGACCACTGAGAAGTGGAGACAGAGAGAAAAATCTTCCATCCGCTGATCCAGCCCTCACGGATGTTGTTGGGTGTCTCTCAAGCCATCCCAGCCCCTGTCCTAGTTTTATGCCCTCCCATGAAAGTGGTAACCCAAGAGGGATGAGCCCATTATTTCCCTCCCAGGCCTCTCCCACTCCCAGATTATGCACTCTCCAGATAGTTCTGTGGTTTGACTTGACAGAACTAGCCCCCAGTGCCAAAATCTGCCAGCTGATGCTGTGGCTAAGCCCCAACAACCCTCACCCACTCTAATTGTCGATTGCACCAGTAGGAATAATCAGCCCAGCCCGGCTTTTCCCTGATCTAGTGCACATGAGGTGCACAGGTGTTGTAGCCCTGCCTAGTCTGGTCTGCCCCCATCCCAGCCCAAGCTCTCCTGTGAGAGTAGCTGTCCAGCAAAGGAACCCTCCCTTATTCCCCTGCCGGCTCTGCCTTCTCCCTTCCTTGTTCTCACACTTGCTGCTTGGGCACTGCGGTCCCTTCCAGTATAGGCACCCTCACCTTGGCATTCCGTATTGTGCACTAGTCTTTGTTGCGACCGAACCTGGCTCGACCCACACTGTTCTGGTGCTTGGATTTGCCAGTGGATGACGTGGATTGATTCAGCCTGGTCTTCTCCTGACCTCTGCCAATTGCATGCCAGTGGGACACTTTCCATGGTCTTTTCTGGGCTGTTTCCTATCATGCTTCTTGCGCTTACGTGCCAGGTCTGCATCCTGCCAGAGGATTTGCCCAGGCTCCTCCATCAGAACCCCTCTGAATGCCAGATTTTGCACATACCAATGGGTCCATGAGCCAGCCCTACTCAGTTCAGCTCCTGTCCTAGCAGGAACAGTGGCTTTTCCTGACTGGCCTTCAACCCAATCTGGTTCTTGATGTTGGATGCTTCAGCCCAGCCATGGTTTGTCCATACCCACACATAGCTCATACATGGCTCAGTAGGCGTTGAGACCTTGCCTAGTCCATCGCACATCTACCCTAGTCCTCCAGGACACTAGATGGTGTTGGGGTCTGACCCAGTTCGGTGCATCCAATCCCAGTCCACACTTGTGCCAAGGGAGACTACAACCGTTTCCCATTCAGAACGCAGCCCCCATTCCAGCCCCATGCCCCTTGGTGGGAACCTCAACCCAGCTAGGGCTGTCCCCTTAGCTCCCCAACTGGGCCTGTTCCCAGCCATAGATCACTTGCATGCCAGTGGTTGCTATGACTCAGCTTGGCACAGCCCCTCACCTGTCCTGACCTCTGCCTTAGACACTGTGGCTTAGCGTTCCTGGCTCACGCAGACCAGTAGGTACAAGAGCCTAGCTCGGCATGACCTGTGCTCCATCCTGGTCTCTAGTTTTGCTTGTGGGCTGTTTGCTCAGTCCTGCCTGATCTACCCTGTTTCATTACCAATTGACACATTTGCCAGCTGTTGGAGCTATTTTTCTCAGCTTGTCCGACCCCCAGGTCTGGACCACATGTTTACCAGCAGGAGCTATGACCCGCCAGGGGAGTTTCCCAAGTTCCTCCACTTAATCCACTTCCAGACCCAGTTCTCATACATGCCATTGGGTTTAGGCCAGTGCTCAGCGCAGTCTGGCCTTGCATTTGGCCTTGTATGAGCTGGTGAACATTGCAGTCCGGCCCACCCCACATCCTAATTAGGATGCACAATCGGGTGCTGCTGCCCTGACCAGTCTAGACTATTGGGGGTTCCTTTACCTGTGATTGATGGCAGGCTCCTTGGTCACAGCTAGCTTAGTCCATCACCACCCCAACTCATGAGATAACCAGTGGGGCTAGAATTTTCACAGGATGTGGCCCACACATCCCTCACAGAATTTACCCCTGGTTATGGTTCTTGAGTGCTAGTTAATGTAATGGCTTGCTTAATGTGACCCTTCTCCTGATCCATCATCATGTCAGGCAACAAGGTATAATTCTGCAGGACAAGCCCCAAGCCATAACTTTTGCATGGACTGGTATTTGGTGGTCAGCATTGTTCAGTGATTACAAGTTTTACAAAGGAAGAGTTACTGCCAATGGGAATCTTTACGAATGCTTCACGTCCTAAAAGCACAATGGGTTCAACCTGGAGCTACCTAAGCAGCGACTCAAAGAATCAAAACCCCAGAGCTCTTCTGCCTGGCGGCCAGCAGGAGAGCCTGGCACCAAATGGCACACTGGCCCGGGGACAGCTCACCACATGCACATGGTGGCTGTCATCTGGGATAATACATTTATGTTGCTTGAAACAACCAGTTTTGGGTGTTTGTTACATCACTCACAGCATATGAACACAGGGCTTAACAGGACGGAATGCACAGAACAAGTAGGACAGAGTAAGCAGATGAGTATTCTTTTCCATTAAAAACAGAACAAAACAAAACAAAACCTTTTCATGGGTTAGACTGCTCTAAATAGTTGACTTAGTAAACAAGAATTTGTGAACAGCCATAAAGTTGAATCAGCTCAATTTCTGTAAACATGTTTAATGATCTTTTAGTACAAAAGTATCTCTTCAATGAGTCAGATGTATGAGTTTAAGAACAAATTACTATAACAAAGTAACTGTTGGAGCCAGCACCATGGCTCAATGGTCTAATCTTCCACCCTGTGGTGCCTGCATTCCCAATGGTTTGTGTCCTGCTTCTCATCCAGCTCCCTGTTTGTGGCCTAGGAAAGCAGACTAGGATGGCCCCCTCTGCCCACCAAAGCCTTGGGGCCTTACAACTGCATGGAAGACTCTTCTCTCCAATATATCCTCTCTAAACTTTCCTTATAAGTAAAAATGAACAAATCTTTAAAAAAAGAAAAAGAACTGTTATAAACGATCATGTACCGCCACTTACCTTGAGACTGATAATTATTTTATATAAATCTTATCACACCTCGTATGCTGATAGTTTAATGTGGTCTGTATCTCTCTCTTAAGTTCTTTTTATCTTGGAACTAGCTTTTCTCCATGCTGCCTAATGTATAATCACACACCAGGCACTGTGCAACCTACAATCGGTAGCCCAATTGCTTACTCGCAGCTTGGATTTTGGGATTGCAAGTCATGCCACCAAGATAGAGTAAACAAAAAATTTAAAGATTGGTCCCTCAGTCTTTGAACAAATTCAGAATTAAGGATCGGCATCAGCCAGCAATTCCTTGCATGCCTCCTAAAGTTTCAGAGTTAACCATTTCAGTGGAAGGGCTCATGCTTATTCAAAATACCACAGGATGTTTCACGGCTTCCTGTATTAGGGTGCAAAGGAGAGGAGGTGACATTCCTGCGAGGTCTCCCTGTAGTAAGCCCATTCACCACACCACCAGGAAACATTGCAAGGAAGAAACCGGAGGGTGGGCAGCCAACAGGCCCCTCTTTCCCCGGGCATCACCACGTTTGCGCAGGAGCCTGTAAGCCCCTTTCCTAGAGTGTCCCTGCTGCCTCAGTGGGTCGGTTCTGGGGGTGAGGGTGGGTGGCTTCGATGGTGAGGCGGAGCCTTCAGCACCCAATCACCGCCTGGGAGGGAAGAAAGACTTTCAGACCCCTGCAATCCTCCCACGGGCTGAGGAACGGAATCCACACGCAGGCAACTGACCTGATGAGGTCTGGCCCACCTTCCGCCGGCTCCAGCGAACGCTGGAGGGCGGAAGGCCTGAAAATGTGGGTACCCAAGTACCACTCCAAGTCTGCGCCTCAGGTCGGAGAGCCGTCTTCCTCAGAAGGTGTCGAAGCGGGACGCTCCGGCCCGACCCGGGAGACCGCTCCCCTCTCCTTGCGCACACGTCAGCGCCAGCGCCGGGGCAGCGCCGTAATGCCTCGACAAAGTGTACCCTACAAAAAACCACCCCCCACCACTGCAACTCCCAAGCTCACACCTGCCAGTCTCAAGGGATCAAGGCAGAGAGAAAGAGAGTCTGCTGGTCCCCTCCCCCCCCACCCCCCCAGAGACGCGGGCGGCTGTCTGAAGGTTTGTTTTTTAGTGAGACTTCTGTCAGTCTTCGTAGTTCTGACGTCCACGACGCATCACCACCCCTTTCTTGCGAGTCTACAGGTCTTGCAGGTGGTGGGCCTGTTAACCCTGCCCAGTGGCTAGACATCTCTTCTTTGATGGCCTGTTCTTGTGTGCCAGGCCCCAGCCTCCATTGCAAATCCCCTTTGCTTGGGAGCCCGCGGCTGGAGCGAAGCGGGTGTGTGCGCAACTATAAGAAGGCGCGTGGTAGAGATGGCGGCGCTCTGTGAGACTTTCCTGTCACTGGATACTACTACTCCCGGCACCTCCTCAGCGCGGCCGGAGCAAACCCCCAGGTCTTTTAGTTTACAAGTGGCAATTTGACTGGCTCTGCTGCATGTCTGGAGGGACCGAGGAAAGTGTGGACACGCCCCGGGGATTCAGGGACCGCAGCTTCAAACGAAAACAAGCCAAACCAACCAAGCAAACTCACCCACCCTAAGCCAGCATGAGGCTGCTGGAGAGAATGAGGAAAGAATGGTTCATGATCGGAATTGTGCTGGTCATCGCCGCCGCGAAGCTGGAGCCCTCGATGGGGGTGAACGGGGGTGAGTGCTGCCCCCGCCGTGCCCCCTTCAGAACTCTTCATTTGTGAGTTGGGCGCGGAGGGGCGAGCCGGCCAGTGCCTGCCTCTTTGGGGGTCGTGCGGGTGGGGGGCTCTGGCCCCGGCGTAGATTCACCTCCCAGAGGGGGCGGCCGAAGGAAGTGGAGCGCAGGTGGCCTGGGCTGACTTTACTGTCAGCAGTGGGGTTGCCAACGCTGAAACTAACTCCTCTTGCTTTCCAAGTGGCATCCTGCCCCCTCCTGGGACGCCGGCAAGCGGGGAGTTCCTTATCTAGCTTTGAAGGGACCTCGTTGTCCAGGCTGTTTCTGACTTCGGCTCCCGGGGTCCCCCTTCCCCCTTCAGTGGTTCCTGCTCCACGTGTGTTGCAGTCGTTGCCACTCCAGGAGCTCCTCGGCGGACTGACACGTTGCACTCTCTCCTTAGAGGAGCCTGTTACTTCCGTGTGCTGCAGGGAGGTTGCAGCTGGCCCAGGCGTTCTCATTCACACAGCCACTGCGTGGACCACAAGTGCATATTTTGGCCAGGAAGTGTGGAGGTTCCCCCCGACACCCTTTCAGCACACTCCGGTCCCTTGAGAGTGGCACTTTTGTAAAGTGGCCAGGGGATGCTGTGGGGAACCCGGGGACTGTATCTAGTGTCTTGGGTGCCTCCTCCTCCCCAGAAGTCTTACTCTACTTCTCTGAGACACGGGTTGACCTTCTGAATCAGTTTCTAGGCTTTTTGAGCTTGCAAAGTCAGACATACCTAGGGCAGATTGGGACAGAAGTGAACACACACACAGAGACGCTTTCTGGTAGAACTGCTTGTAAGTGAAGTCAAGTGAAGTGACTTAAAACTCACTGAAATGAATAAAATGAAAGTTGTCTAGATTACCTTGTTTTCTTCAAACCCTCCCCCCCCCCATTTCGTAGAAGCATATTACAAGAAATTGTTTCAACAAAACTGGAGATTAAAACTGTGTTTGTTTTAAAGAGTTTTCTTCTAGTCTCAAGCTCAGAAAGGGTGGGGTATATGACAGGGAGAATGAAGCCGCCATTCGTTATGGTTCTCCCTTGGAAAATACGTTGCATTCACACAGTGTCTTTTTGAGCCTCTGGAAAACATTTGGGGAAGATGATATTCCAGGTTCTGTTAAGTGAGGAGATTCCCTCTCTCCTGGGAACCCATGGAGCAGGCAGATTTAAACTTAGCATATCTTTGTGGTGGTCTGCAGTACAGGGCTCACCACCTGAGTGATTCCTGTTAGAGCTCTTGCTGGCTCACTTTTGCAGGGAAATGATAGATAGGTATGTTTGAAAGTTTACATTTGCAAGGATTGGATTTGACAAAATGCAAGGGTACTTCCAAAAAATTCGTGGGAAGTGAAATTGAAAGTAGGTTTATTTTGTGGCAAAAAGTTGAAATCAATGTATGGGTAACGTGGATTATGAAAAAAGCCTAAATGCATGAATTTCAACTATTTTTTTGTTTTGCACCAAAACAAGCTTATCTTTTAATTGCATTTCCCATAGGTTTTTGAGAAGCTGAAGGCTTTGGGCACGAAAGTGTTGTTGAATGCTGAATCCATTCTCTAAAGCCACAGAGATTCTATCCTCTTGTTCCCTTGGACTTGTGCTTATTGAAGTTCTAATTGGTTCCCATTTTCCCTCATCCTTGTGCCAGTATCCTAGAGGACTTCATTTCTTTAATTGTAGCTGAGTAGAATAAGAGCTGGTGGAATTTTCAAAATTTATTTCGCCAGGCTGCCTCTCTTACAGTTGAAAAAGGCCTGAAGCCCAGTAACTCACCTTTTTAGCAGCTTTGGGAACAGGAGCCTGCTTCTGGAGACCAGGGCTCCCCCATGTCTCATACCATAGGCAGGATCCATACTGATTGTTCTGGCTTCAAATTCAGTAAAATGAATATTCCTTCAACGTAAGGGCTTCCTCCCCCTTCCTCACCACACACACACACACACACACACACACACACACACACACGCTGAGCATTCACCCAATGGAGCACAGCAAAATCGGCCAATGTCAGACAGCACTGTACCATGTGCTGTCTTTGAAAACTATTCCTATGTAAAAGTTATTTTCTGTAAAAAGCAAAATTTGCATGCTTGCATGGAATTTCCGGTATAGTCTGTCAGACTAAGTTTTTAATGGATCTTCACACCTGTTATGCTCGTGAACAAAACCCCACCTTCAAATTTTAATACGTTTACTTCCCTAGTTGAAGAAAAAAAAAACAGTAAAAATTTAGGAAGAAGAGGAACAGCAGCTGAAGTTTCTTTCATATTTTTCTCTTTATAATGGTTTAAGCTTTTTTTCTTGGAGCTTTAAGCTAAAAATTTTCATTTATGGCCTTTGTCCACTAATAATGTAGTTTTTATACATTTACATAGGCAGGATGATTTTCAATTGAACACTCTACTAGACATTTTTAAGTAAAACAAGTTTCAGCAGTCTTCAGTTTTGTTGTGATGTTTATAGTACCTTTGCCTGTGTGAATACTCTAATGATCACACTGTATTTAAAGTATAAGTTTATTTACTTAAAATTTCATAAAAATGTGTAGTCTGACTTTCCTTAAAAAATCTTTGCATCTGGCTGGTGAGTTAGTGTGGCAGGAAATGTATAGGCGTAGGAATCTTAAAATTTGAGACCTTCAGTTTCTGAATGGGAAGAAGCATAGCAGACTGCAGCTTAGATTATTTCATTGTTAATCCACGGCTCTGTTGACATTTCACTTTTAAATGCTTAGGAGGAGTTTGAAAATAAATGGCCCCACAAGATGGCTGTTTCTAAAGACCTAGACATTGATAGTCTGTCCTAAGAGACACGTGGCAACCCTGAGCTAAGGAGTACTTTAGAGTGCATGCGTGTTCAGCAATGTGCTGTTTCTCTTTGGGAAATGAAAGGTTTATTTCTTTGGAAGTGCAGAATAATTCTGTTACTTCTACCTGAATCTTAACCTACGTTATTGCCCTGCATAAGTCATTAAACCTTTTTCCATTAAAATATATCCTGAAACATTCTATGAGCATTAAGAATGTTATTAGCATGAATACTTTACATTAGGTTTAGAAGGGAAATTTACTTTGCTGATGAGGTGCTTTTGTGAAATGATAATCATTCCTGGCATACATATGCATTCCAAAACGTTTTCTTTCCCCCTCTAATTAAAAAATCATTGGTTTTGGAGTCCAAATATTGTTTCTGGTTTTAGAACCAGTTTTTTTTTTTGCATTGTGCTTCCCTATTTTGTTTTTGTTGATAAACGTATTGAACTTTTGTTTAAAGGAACGCATACTTCTGCCTTGAGCTTTGTAGCCATCTTAAGATCTGAATCTGGTTCTTTTTTGACTTGGAAGATGTAATTGTTAGCATGGGTTGGGAACAAATAAAATTTCAACCGTAACTTCTGTGCAAATATTTGGCAACTTTTAATTTCAGTCCTGGGGGATTTCCGGTTCCACATTTCCAACTTGGGCCAGCTGTTAGCTTCTCAACTGATGACATTCAGAGGAACCTTAATTTGTTCTAAATAAAGATAAACTCCTGTTTTCCCTTTGCTGGTACCTTCTAGGTAGTCCTGGAATGTCCTCATCATGCCTTTGATGGATTATTTAAATGTGTTGTTAACATAAGAGATAACATAGCTTGTGTTTAGGATTGAAAACGTTAAAGATCAGGAATCATTACATTGACTTATGCCAATCAGTTGTGTATGTGTGTGTGTGTGTGTGTTTGCGGGGGGGGATCATCTAAAGTAGATGCTTCACTTACCACTAAGAAACATATAATCTGAGCCAAAGCCAAGTGTTTGCTTTCGAGTGCAACCTTGACTGTGTGCTCCAGGCTCATCTGCAGCCACGTTGCTGACTCTAACCCCTTCTGTACAGAAATTCTGGGACATCACTCTGGGCAAGACCACAGTCACCAAGAATAATGGTCCACAAAGCAAGTAGGGGACTCTGAGGAAAGAAAAATGTGAGTCATGAAACAGGGCATTTAAAAATTCCTAGGGCCCTTCTGTCTATTTTCCAAAGAAGCCAGATTTCTTGATGCTGAGATCTGCTTCTGAATTACCCTCCTCAGCTGTCATAGAAATATTGCTTCTGACAGTGAGCTGCTGAGACAGACTTGCAAGTATAAACATTACATACCTTTTTCCAAGGTTTTCACTGCCCTGAAATGAAAAACCTTTCATACTGGCCTTCACCGATTTGCTCCCTTTTCTCAGATCTCAGCAAAACCATCGGTGTGAAGGGCAAATATATAAGAGCATTTGTGGACATGTTTAAGGAAATGGGCTTGTTTGGTTTCACAGTGGTGCTACAAATGCCTGAGATGTAGTAGATGTTGCAGAAATCTTTTTTGAATGAATGCGTGATCATTTTTTTCCCTCCATGCTTGGATTTCAAGGCATTTATTGAGCAATGCCTATAGGCACGGGCAAAGGATTTTGTGGTCCTGTGGTTTGATTTAAGAGGGAAAGGGCAAGAGTTTCTTGGGCCTGTTAGAAAGATGACCATGAACTGGGTGACTTGAAAACAATAGGCATTTATTTCTGATGACTCTTGCAGGCAATAATGTGAAGTCAAAACACCCTTTGAATGCTCTGTAGAGGTGTCTTTCCTGGCTTCCTCTAGTATGTCGTTGTTGCCAGCTGTCCTCAGCATTCCTGGGTGTGTGGCAGTCGAACTCTGGCTGTTTTCCTGTGGCTAACCTCCCTGTGTGTGTATGTGTATGTGTTTGTGTGTGTCCAAATTTCCCTTTTCTTGGAAGAATGTCAATCATTGGAGTAGTACCCACAGTAGTCTAACAAGACGCCATCTTTACTGGATTGTGTTTACAGAGACCCTATTTTCTGAAAAGGCCACATTCATAGATTCTGGGCAGACATGAGCTTTGGTTAACAAATCAAATCAGGCAAGATTGCTGCACAGAATGTCAAATATGAAATGATCTTGGGGTTTAAAATATTGGGATGCACCAGCATTCCTCAGCCTGAGCGCTAGTGATATTTTGGATGTGATAATTTGTTTCTGGAGGTGCTGTCTTGTGGCTTCCAGGATGCTTAACAGAATTCCTGATCTCTACTTACCGGATGTTAAGTAGCACATTGCAGATGTCTGTGATGGCTCAAATTGCCGCCATTGGAGAACCACTGACACAGGCATAAAGTGGCATTTGTGTCAGAACTGCATTTGTTGAAGGAATGTTACTCTTGTGCCGATGGTTTGCAATTCACACAAGATGCTTTGAATATCAGGATCACCCCTGTTGTCCTCACAGCATTACCATATTTAAGCTGATGCCCTCATGTCTCCAGACAGGTCTATCCTTGTGGGATTATCACCGGGCTTAGCAAAATTCAGTAATAACTATGGTCATGGAGCTATATTTGTAAGTTCTCTCTAGTTACTTTCTCTTTTTCCCATAGTAAGTACTTAATACATACTAGTAGAATGGATACTCTTGGGCCAAACTGAATGCATACATGGACACAAACTTTAATTTCTCACATCCTATTGCCAATAAAAGTATTTGCTAAAGAGGAAGAAACTCCATTGATTCTCTTCTTTGGATTTGGACGGAGGTATTTTAGTTATTATAGCAGCAGTGAGCCTAGTGATATGGTTAGGACTTGTGTAGAAGGTGTTGGTCTATCTCCTCTGCTGTGAGCTTTTCCATTCTTCTCTGCTTGCTGTGAGTACTGTGCTGATGCCATTAGACATGGTCCCTGCAACTGGAGTGTACTCTCTGGAGCTAGGCTGCGTTGTTGCCAATGCTTCGCTCTGTCAGCACAGTGGGACACGAGAGGCAGCACTGGGATCTAAAGTACCACTGCCTCTCGTCCAACTGCTCCTTATCTTATCTCAAGTTATCTACTGGAAATCCTTTTCTAACAGTAACTAATTTCTCTATTTTTTAGGACCACTGAAGCCAGAAATAACTGTATCCTACATTGCTGTTGCAACAATATTCTTTAACAGTGGACTGTCATTAAAAACGGAGGTACTGTCACCTATGAGACATATGAATAGCAGTGATGAAAATTTAATTTATACCTATTGGTTTGGGATTATAAAACCATTCACAGCTATGGTCCAAAAGCTTCTCTGTAAGGAAAGATAACGTAGACTTATGCAAAGATTATGTGTTATGTTCTTATGTCTGAGGATGTGGTTATCATGAATATTCTGTGTGTTTGTGTTTAAAGATTTATTTATTGGGGCTGGTGCTATGGCTGAGCTTGCTAATCTTCTGCCTGTTAGCACAGACATCTCCACTTCCAATCCAACTTTGCTTATGGCCTGGGAATGCAGTGGAGCATGGCCCAATATCTGGGACTCTGCAGATGCATAGGAAACCTAGAAGCTCATGGCTCTTGGCTTTGGATTGGCTCAGCTCCAGCTATTGTGATCATTTGGGGAGTGAGAGAGTGAATGGAAACCTCTTTCTCTGTCTCTCCTTCTCTCTGTAAATCTGTCTTTCCAATAAAAATAAATGCATCAAGTGTTGGTACAGTAGCCTAGTGGCTAAAATCCTAGCCTTGCGTACTCTGGGATCCTACAGGGGCACCAGTTCATATCCTGGTGGTCCTGCTTCCCATTCAGGTCCCTGCTGGTAGTCTGGGAATGCAGTCAAGAATGGCCCAAGGCCTTGGAACCCTTTATCTGCGTGGGAGACCGGGAAGAGGCTCCAGGCTCCTGGTTTTGGACTGGCTCAGCTTAGGCTGTTGCGACCATTTGGGGAGTGAATCATTGGACGGAAAATCTTACTCTGCCTCTCCTCCTCTCTATATTTCAGGCTTTCCAATAAAAATAAATAAATCTTTAAAAAGAAATAAATGCATCTTTGAAAAACGATTTATTTATTTATTTAAAAGGCAGAGTGACAGAAAAGGAGATGAATGAAGTGAAAGGTCTCTCATTTGCTGGTTTTCCCCTAAATGACCATAGCAGCCCGGGTTAGGCCAGGCTTAAGCCAAGAGCCAGGAACTCCATCCAGATCTCCCTCATGGGTGGCAGGGTCACTGGCTCTCAGGCATTCTTCTACAGCTTTCCCAGGCATATTCACAGGCTGCTGCATCAGAAGCAGAGCAGCCAAGATTCAAACTGATGCTCCAACAAAGGGACGTCATGGTCACAAGCAGATACTTAACCCACTATACCAAAATGCAGGCCCCTGTGTGTGTTTGCTTATTAATTTTTATTTATTTATTTGATTGGTAGAGACTCAGAGAGTACTCAGTTCCTAGCACATTTTCCAGTTGATTCCAACACCTAGCTGGGATCCTGGAATTCCTCAACTCAGGACAGATCTCTCCCATGGATGGGTGGTAGGGAGCCTACCAGTTGAGCAACAGCTGTTGCCTCTGATGGCATTTTCAGGAAATTGGCATCAGGAATGGAACTGGGACTTGAAACTAGAGCCTGCTTATGCATGTGAGCATCCTAACAAGAACCAGAACTACTAGACCAAGCACCTGCTACTTGAGTCTGTTTTTAATGATATGTGAACTGAAGCATGTACTTCAGGTCATCCTCAAAATTAGAGTGATATTTCATGGAGTTTCCTGTGTTGGGGCACATTTGAGTTACTAAGCTTAGTTTTATTTCTATTAAGTTTTGTGAATCACCTTTTATTATCAGAACTCATGCTGTGCTGCTAAAGCTTATTATGTCATAACCTTTGACTACCATTTTTTGAAAAGCATATTCCTGTTTATCATATTGATTAAGTATTAATAGATGCCTCAGGACAAATATTGGTGATTTTTCAGAATGAGTCACAATCTATCACGCAGACATATAGGTAACACTACTCATTGATCCCAGTGAATGTGAGATTTTCTTGGGAGTTAAGAAATCTGAACATTTTATTTGTGTGGGAAGTAGGATTTAGGATTTTTATTTGACATAATAAAAGAAGAAAATATACCCATTTGATAGGAAGAAATTGTTTAAAATTATCATTCTAACATGCTTATTCCATATAAATAAGAAAATCTTATTGTAAGTGAAAATTATGGTTCAGCATCATGTCTTGTTTTTATGTATTTTGAGCTTATTTTCTTCTAAGTATGATTTTAATGAAAGCCAAATTTAGTTATTTCCTTCTGGATCACCCTGGTGGCAACATGGAAGAAAATAAGATTTTGCTAAATTTATGTATTCAATAGCAGATTGATATTAATTTTTCATTGTAGCATGTATGTGTCTATGTTTAAATGCATGTACAAAATCAATGTGTAGTATCTACACATGGTAAATTATGTCTTTAAAATTCTAAATATTCTGGCTGATTTCCTGATCTTTTAAAAGTAATCAGTGTGGTATGAAATGTGTAGTTGTGATTTTTATAAATCTATATAGACATCAGTGGGCCATGGTGAGTGCTAACAGGGCTTGGGCTTTTTCTGTCAGCACTCAGGTACTAACATGGTTCCTCAATGTAGGACTCAGTAAAATAGAAAAATAGCATAATTCCATGACCCCAACATGGTGGTGCATTCTCTTGCTTGGCAGTCTTAATGCTGGCCTTGGCTAATGTTCTTTGTGGAGCAAGTGCCTTACCCCAGGTCTCTATTCAGGGCAGCTCCCTAAGTGTGTCCCCTGATGACGACAGCTGCTATTTACTCCATGAGAGACTTGGCAACAGATGTGTTTTCTCTCACTGCTTAGTTTCTTTCCTAATGCTGTTCTGTATAGCAGCCAACTTCATGGATGTAGGGTTGAAGAAGGAAGATTGCCACAACCCCTGTCAGCATTTCTGGAAGCGCCTGTGTAAGCATCTAGGAAACCTTTAGATTCATCAGCTAGTTTGGGTCTAAGGATGAAATGCTTTGATCCTGTGCTTTATTGTGATGTCTAAGGAGCCGTCAAAGCCATTTCCTCCGTCTAAGGTTCTTTTCAAATGAATACAACATTAAGTCATTTTAAAAAGCCATTTAACTTGAGATGTCCTTCATTACATCACTGTGTAACATTAAACTGTCTATAAACCCTGCTAATTTCCTGGGTGACCAAACAGCTATAAGTTAGGAGGCAGCAATCTTGTTACTTGATTTCTAGTTAAAAATGCTGCTGGGACTGTGGTCTATATCTGGGTAGTTCTAGAATTACACTTTTCTTTTTTTCCATAAAGGAGTTATGTAAATTAATGCTGATGTGAGTATTTTTGTTAGTTCCATTCAACTTACCCTGAACCTTTCATGTAGTATTTTTTACATATTGGTTTACTGAAGTATATTTTAAAATGTTTTACTAATTTATTAAGATTATAAAGGCAACTGTACTAATACAATACCAAATCTTCCGTATCTAGTTTCTGAAATATCTGTTGGAATGGTTTCTGAAATTTTGCTATATTAAAGTGAAATAAGATTACATTTTCCATTTATTTTATATTGAGCTACCTGCAGCTTACAGTTTCAGACAGACTTTGAAGCCTCTTCATTAAAAGTAGTACCTAGAAAATGCCTTTGGGTACAAGGCACTGTGCCTGGTGCTGGGCCTGGAAACAAAAATGAGTGGGAGGTGCAGGGCCTGGAAAAGAGTTCTGAATACTCAATTTTTCTAAGCAGGTTATTACTTTTTTAATCCCATTAGCTGCAAAGTAAATACAACAAACTTCTAAACTGTGGGCCATGCTGCTTGCTTTAAGCCCAGAGCTATGAGGCCGAGTCTCTGAAAGTGAATCAGATAAAGGTCAAACAAGGGCTAGAAGGGAAATTGGTATGTAATGAAAATATTTCTACATCCCAGGCAAAGCTCTGGGTTTAAGCCATTCTTGATGCTGTCAGTGAGACTGTGGTATAATCAGTACATTCTGTGAAATATCTCCCTCCTCTTATTTTAATGGAATCTGACCTGTACTACATGTGAATAAACAAAATGTCATGCAGAATCAACTTTTCAATTTTTCATGATGGTATTTATTTGAATATGTGGTCCTACATTTTACATGGAGATATAGGAGTAATACTATTTGAGATTTTATAGAGTTTGCTTCCTTTTCTTTTCCAGTGTTGCTTTTATTTTTTCTTTGTATCTATTGAAAGAATTTACAGAAAATATGCGACACTGGGCTTTTGTAATGGACAACCTGGAGTCTTTTTCTGGGAGGCACTTCATGCCTGTTACTTTCCAGTCATTAAGGACATGGTCATGGTCTATCATAGGCTGTTGGAGCTCATTTTGCTAGGTTTTTGTTTTTTTTGTTTTTGTAAAATTAATTTAATTTATGCATTTGAAACGCAGAGTGGCAGAATATGAGAGAGAGAGACAGACAGATAGACAAACAGAGACAGAGAGAGAGAAGAGAAGAGATCTTTTATCTACTGGTTCACTCCCCAAATGGCTGCAGTGGACTAGGCTGAAGAGAGTTCCATCTGGGTCTCTTATGTGGGTGGCAGGGATCCAAACCCTAGAAGCCATTTTCTACTGCTTTCCCAGATGCATTAACAGGTACTGGATTGAAAGTGGAGCTCCTGGGATTTGAACTGGTGCTTCGGTATGGGTTGCCTGTGTTGGAGGCTGCAACTTAATGTGCTGTGCCATGATGCCAGCCTTTTTTGCTGTGTTCTTCAATGTACCAATATGCTGATGCAGTGTCAATTGTTTCTAATTGTCATTTACTGAGTCAGCTAGTGTTTATGACTTCATTTTAGTCTTCTACCATTTTTTCTGATTATAAAAACAGTGCTTAGTCTGTGCAGAAAGATGAAAAGAATAAAAATTGCTGCTGTTAACAATTTGGTTGTTTTTGTTCCTTTTCTCCACTAAGCAATTTTCAGATTTCTGTTGGAGATGGAGAGAGAGAGAGAGAGTTTGTATATGCTATTACTTTCCCCAAATGCTTGTGAAAGTAGGGACTGGATTGAGAGCAAGGCCAAAGCTAAAGATGGGAATGGAATCCATGTCTGCTGTGTGGTTGGCAGGAACCTGGCTGCTGGAGCCTCACTCTGCCTCTCAGTGTCTGTATCTGCAGCAGCTGCAGTTGGAGCTAGAGGTCGGTTTGGAGCCAAGGCAGTCCTAAATGGGATGCCGGTGTCTTAGTTGGAGACTTAACTGATAGGTCAAATGCTTATCCTCTGAGACATGGGTTTATATGAAATATAAAAAATACATATATATTAAGGATTTTGTTTATTTTCATTGGAAAGGCAGATTTACAGAGAGACCGAGAAAAAAGTCTTCCAACTACTGCTTCTCTCCTCAAATGGTCACAACAGTCAGAATAGCGGGAGCTGAGCCAATCCAAAGCCAGGAGCCAAGAGCCAGGAGCTTCTTTCAGGTCTCCACATGGGTGCAGGGTTCCAAGGCTTTGGACCATCTTCCACTGCCTTCCCAGGCTATAAGCAGGGAACTGGATGGGAAGTGGAGTAGCCAGGACATGAACTGGTGCCCATATAGGATGCCAGTGCTTAGAGGTGGAGTATTAGTCAGTTGAGCCATTGCGTTGGCCAAAAATAAAATATATTTTTTAAAATAAAGTTCTGTGCACATCTATTTCCATGTATTTGCAAACATATATATAATCTTATCCTATTTGTTCTACCTAGTGTTTTTCATGTACTTAATATTGTCCATTTTTCTTCATGTACATATTATTTGTTTACTTTTGGGAACATAGATTTGTTTTTATTGTTTTCTTTTTTTTACTTTTGCATTGCTTTCTTCACATGGTTCAGAATTAAAACATACAAAACTGTACATGACAAGGAGCTTTCCTTTCATCTCTCTACTTGATTTGTCTTCTTTGGAAACAAGGAAGATGAACAGCTTTTGTGTTCTTTTCCAGGTAATTTTATGTAAAATACAGGCATTTAAATATTAACTGACACTTTACTATATCTTATTATTTTAAGAATTATTTATGTATTTGAAAGGCAGAGTTACCGACAAGGGGTGAGAGAGAAAGAGCGAGAAAGTGTGAGAGTGAGTGCAAGAGAACCTTCATGTGCTACTTCATTTTGGTCTGGCTGGGCCAGACCAAAGCCAGGAGCCAGGATTCTGAACCTCCTATGCTGGTACAGGGACCCACTGACTTGGGACATCCTCTGCTGCCTTCCTAGGGAACTGGATCAGAACTCAAATTAGTGCCCATATGGGATACAGATATTGTTTTAACCTACTCTGCCATACCACTGGCTCTTGTGACACTTGACCATATTTTATTTAAAGCATATTTTTGCAGACTGTTTCATATGATGAGATAGAGAACACAGTTTCTGGGCCCAGCGTGGTAACCTAGTGTATAGAGTCCTTGACTTGCATATGCCGGGATCCCAGTGGAGCTGATTCATATCCCAGCGGCCCCGCTTCCCATCCAGCTCCCTGCTTGTGGCCTGGGAATGCAGTCAAGGACAGCCCTAAGCCTAGGGACCCTGCACCTGCATGGGAGACCCGGAAGAAGCTCCTGGTTCCTGGGGTCGGATCGGCTCAGCTCCAGCCATTGCAGCCACCTGGGGAGTGAACCATCGAATGGATCTTCCTCGCTGTCTCTCTTCCTCTGTATATCTGCCTTTACCAAAACAAAAAAAAAATCTTAAAAAAAAACCTCAGTTTCTTTCTGTGTGCCAGTTAATATTTTCTTGTATAGATATATCATGATGTATTTTACTTTGTCCTCTGGGCTCTTTATTTTAAAAATAAAACCTTTAAAAAATATATAGTAGATGCCATTTAAGTTGTGTTAGACATTCTAAGTGCCTAGAATGGTGCCAGGTACTCAGTGAATATTTCTCGAATTATGAGTTGCCAGATTGCTCTTTCTTTTTTTTTTTTTTTTAAGATTTATTTATTTTTATTGGGAAGTCAGATATACAGAGAGAAGGAGAGACAGAGAGGAAGATCTTCTGTTTGATCATGCATTCCCCAAGTGGCTGCCACAGCCAGTGCTATGCTGATCCAAAGCCAGGAGCTTCTTCCAGATCTCCCACATGGGTGCAAGGTCCCAAAGCTTTGGGCTATCTTCCACTGCTTTTCTAGGTCACAGGCAGGGAGCTGGATGGGAAGCAGGGCTACTGGGATACTAACCGGCTCCCATATGGGATCCAGGCATGTGCAGAACCACAACTTTAGCTGCTAGGCTACTGTGCCGGACCCTGCCAGATTGTTCTCTACAGATTGTGTCAATTTCCACTCTTTTTGGTAAAGTAGGTGAAGTAGAATCTCTATTCCAAATTCTCACATGGTCATTATGGTTTTTATAGCTGATAACACTATCATTATTTTTTAGCTTACTGAATTCATCTCTAATTTTTGGACATTTGTTTCTAGATTTTGGCTGTAACAGATAATGTTGCACATCAATTCTGTGTGTAACTGTAAAGACTAAACAAAAAATTTGGGGGTCTAAGAATATAAATTCTATGGCAGTCCTTGATATACATTCTCGAGTTACTTTGCAGAAAAGTTGTACCATGTTATATATGAGCTCTTTAGAGCTCTTACAAAATATAGGCATATAGTGAAAAACCTGTGCATAGATTCAACTCTTTGCACACAAGTGAATCCATTTATTAATTTCATCTTCCAAAACCTTTTTGAAGTATCATCCTGTTCCTGTAAGAAGTATTTTCAAAGTCTAGCCGGGACTTCCATGAGTGGCAGAGAACCCAGTCCTTAGGCCATCTTCTGCTGCCTCTCAGGGTGTGCCTTTGCTGGAAGCTGGATTGGAAATGGAAGTGGGACAAGATCCCAGACACTCCAGCAGGAGATGCAGGTATCCCAGTGGACAGCTCGACCCACTCTGCTGCAGGACCAGCCCTCTCCTACCCAGTGTGAAAGCCCTGAGCCTCGGCCAATGAGTCTCGAAAAAGCTCGCTCAAGCTAGGAGGCCATTACAGTTCCATGTTTATAGCCAGTGAAAACTGATAAATTTGAAAATACCTATGTGATGATTTGCCTGTTAATTTTTGTACCACGTTAAAAATTTGTTTTATTTCAAAATAAGCACAGAACAAATTCAAATATAAATGCTTGTTATTTCTATATGTTTGAACCCCACAGAGTAGGTAATTTTTCCCTTTTAGCTGTGAGATCTGTAACATGTGCTTAGTTTGTCATGTTGACTGCATTCTTTTTACGCTTGAGGCAGCTGTGTGACACAATAGAATGAGCAGGGGTGGGTTTGATCACATCCCAGAAATTGGTTTAGTTCTGATCTTTACTGAGGAGGAGTTCATATTCTAAATGGATTGTTGTGAGGATTAAATAAGATAACATGCCTAAAGAGACAAGCTCAGGAGCCGGCCTGATGGCTAAACAGGCTAATCTTCTACCTCCAAGTGTTAGGATCCTATATGAATGCTGCAGCTGCTCCACTTACCATCTAGCTCCCTGCCTGTGGCCTGGGATAGCAGTGGAGGTTGGTCCAAAGTCTACCTATGTGGGAGACCCAGAGAGGGCTCCTGGCTCCTGACTTTCGATTGGTTCAGCTTTGGCTGTTGCCACCATTTGGGGAGTGAACCAGGAGATGGAGGATCTTTCTCTGTCTCTTTCTCTCTATAAATCTGCCTTTCCAAAAAGACAAAAAACAAAACAAACAAACAAAAACTTTTCTTTTTTAAAGACAACTCAGAGCCTAGCATTTAATTGATATTTAATAAATGTTAATAAAAAAATTCTGAGGAATAGATGGTAGAGGCAAAAGCCATCTTAAGTTGTAGACTATTAGGAAAGCATTGAAAAATTATTGTTCATAGATTCAGTGAGATAATGTCAATTGAAACCTAATTTTGCTGTAATGGAAATATGTTAATTATTATATTAAGTTAAAGTGGAATAAGTTGTACTAATGTTTTTTTAAGAAGATTTTCTTTTTCTGTAGGTAAATGTGCCCATTTGTTTATGGCACAGACAATTCCCGTATGATGTACAAAGTCGTATACTGGTGTAAATATAGTTAGTTTAGTCCTGGCATTTTGAAATATCAGGACTTACTTTTTGCAAGAAATTGTACAGTCTTTCAGATATGGTATGAAATATTATATAAATCATCACGAGTAATATTTTTATTTTGAAATTGGCCCTTTATATGTGTGCTTGTAGATACAAATTTTAGCTATAAGTAAAATTAAAAATGAGCTAATGATATTATTTTAGTAGTGATCCCTCCAGCAGTAGTTTTCTCACCTTTGTTTATTTTGTGCCCTTCATATTTTCAGGAGCTGACCAGTGCTTTGGTTCATATAAAACTGCATCTTTTTATTCAGATCTTTACACTTGCATTCTTCCCTGCAACAATATGGCTTTTTCTCCAGCTTTTATCCATCACACCCATCAATGAATGGCTTTTAAAGGGGTATGTATGTTTAAATCTTTTGATGAGTCAAAGGGGGCATCTCTACTGATATTATTGCTTTATGGCAAATAAATAAAAGGTCTTATATGCTTTTTTTCTGAGTTTTAATTAATCAATTTTTATTTAATTTAAAATGGAATGGGGAGAGAGAGAGAGAGAGAGAGAGGGAGAGAGAATGAGAAAGAGAGAGAGAGAGAAAGATTGGGCCATGTGTGGTAAAGCCTAGAGCCCAAACGTCATGCCTGGTTTCCCACATGGCATCAGGGTTCTGACTACTTGATCTACTATGACCTGCCACCTAACATGTGAATTTACAGTTTTCTAGAACTGGAAGTGAAGCTGAGTCTTGAACCCCATGACTCTGTGGATGCGGAGGTCTCATATGTGTTATAAAGAAATAAAAATCACTTTTAACATTAACAGTGGTATTTCATCAAACAATTTTATCATGGAATTGTTGAAAAGAATATTCTAGGATGGACACTTTCTAAGGATTTGAAAGAGTGGTCTTGAGAGAAAAAGGCAAGGAAGAATGCCATGCCTGGATGGTGTAGGCTGTCCCCTGGATGCTTAGATTTCGTATTTTATTACTTCAAAAATGTGTGTAGATAATGGCTGACTCCCTGTGCTTTTAAAATGGAAATGAAAGAAGGAAATGTCTATATTTGAGATATTCAATTTTTCATTTGTTTAACGTTGGATAAAATGGTTGAAGTAATAGTAGATTTTTATTAGAATATTTTCTTTCATTAAACATGCTAACATGTTTGTTAAAGGGATTTAACAATTTAAAAAATTATTCAAAGGGTTTTGTAGCTAACTGCATTTTAGTTTGATATTATAGCCCAAACTATGAACTGTCCGAAGATTGAGTTCTGATTTAACTTTGTCCTGAGTCTTTGACTTTGAGCAAAATCATTTAGTAGTTTTGAACCTCAGTTTCCAGGTTTGTAAAATTAAAATGATCATTCTTTTGCTGTCTCCTTAATAATAATATTCAGCCTATCAACTGAGATCACTAATTCATTGATTTATTCAGATCAATCTGTGGCTTCTTGTGTGTGTTACAAATGATTATGGTTGTTCAGAGACCAGTTGTGACCAAAACTAGTAAATTGCCAGTTGATTTTACATGGAGGAGACTTGGAACCTGTAATTGTCAATAAACAAGCAAATAGTTGATCAAGGTAGAGATAAATAATGTAAGAAGATTAAAACAGTGTGATGTAGTTGAAAGTGGCTTGCAAGGCAAGTTACTGCTTAATTTAGATTACAGAATTCTAGGGACAGAATGTTCTAGGCAAAGGAAGTGATGTGCGAAAGTCCTAGGGGCGGGAACAAGTCTGATAGTTGCGGGTCAGTAAAGTAATAATGGTATCCAGAGCTAGGTGGTGTGGGAAGATAATATGACATGTATTTGGAAAAGCAGACAGGAGCCAGGCATATAGAGACTTGTGGGCCATGTTAAAGCATTCCAGTTTCATTTGGCATGCTACAGGGAGCTTCATGGGAAAAGGCTTGAATTGAGGGTTTATGCATTGTGGAGAAGAGAAAGTCAGGGGGGCTGGAGAGAAAGCTAATAAGGGCCCAGCCTAAATACTAGAGTGGAATAGAAGCAATGCATTATAGAGAAATGAAAATGTATAAGAGATTTTAGAGGTAGAGCTCTCTGAAAATGTAGATGGAGAAGATTGTAGGATGAGAAGGAGAGGGGAAATCAAGTATGTTATTTTGGATGTTTTATAGGAAATACTGGGTAATTATGGCATCATTTACATAACTAGGGAGAAATACAAGGTGGTGGCAATAGGGTTGTTTTTGTCATCTGGTGTTTGAAAGAAAAAAAAACATGAAATTCCAACAAAAAGCAGAAAATATCACCTGAATATGATGATGTTGTTTTAGATCAACATGTGTTATGATTATTAAGAGCCAGTGTTTACTGAATATTTAACATGTGTAAGGCACTCAAAGGATCTGATATTAATTTCTCTTCTTTTGTCCTCAGAGTAAATCTAATGTAGTTGGGTATGTAGGTCATACAAACATACGTACATACATATATATAAGCTTTAGACGTACCTAACTAATTACTTAAATAACAGCCACCAAAAATGGGTTAGTGCACAGTATACCCCTTGAATGGTATGATTAGGTTAGCAGAGTTGGATACTGCTAGAGTTCAAAAATGAGTCCAAAGTGGGAGACAAGCTGAACTTGCAGATGACCTAGACCCCTGGAGTTAGAAGTTTACCTGTGAAACTATGTAGATGATAGAGAGAGAGCCCCTAAGGGTCTTTGAATAAGAGAACATGGTAAGAATTACATGTTCAAGATTAACCTGGCAGTAATGTACTGGGTTTATTGTTAGGAGAGTAGTACTTACAACTTCAGTATGCTAAATGAAACAGATGTACAGTTCTCACCTTAAAGTATTAAAGGAATCACACTGGCCCTACCACAGTCACAGAAAGCTCTTTCATTTTGTTTCTCTCTCATTCTCGTGATATTTGAGAGTGCACACTTAGCATGTTAACTTGGGGAGGTACAGACTCCTTCTACCTTAGAGTCATGGGTAAGTAGCCAAAATGAAGATGCTCTGGGTACAGACTCCCTGCCTTTCTTTGCTGAAGGGACAGTGTGGAGGTAAGAGAGTATTCTGCAGGTCTATGTAAGTGTCCAGAGACATGTGTGAAAGCATCTGAACAGTCACGAAGAAGAGTGGAAAGCTGATTGTTTTGACCAGTTGTGTGTGAGGAAAAAGTGGAGTCAAATATAATCACAAAGATTCAAACTAGATAGTTAAAAAAACAAAGTAAAACAAATGAAACAAACAACAACAAAATCCAAACAAAACCAAAACCTGATCTGGAATAAATGTTTACTACTTGGGAAACCCATGTCTCATTTCAGAGTACCTGATTTTAAGTCCCAATTCTGTACTGTGTTCTAGCTTCCTTGTGCACACCTTGAGGGGGCGGGTCACAGATGTTGCCTCAAGTCCTGCTCCTGTTTCCTGATTTTGACCTGGACCAGCTACAGCTTCTGTGGGCATTTGGGAAGAGAATTAGTACATCATTGCTTTCTGCCTGCCAGTCTCTCTGTTTTTACAAAAACAAAACATATCAAGAAACCAAAATCAAATGAAACTAAAAATGAGTCTCATTGACAGAATAGCTAAATTCAGAGTGAATGTTGCATTTTTATAAAATACATAAATCTGTTCTGGAGACCTGCTGGATAACATACTAGCTATAGTTAATGTATTTTATATGAAAAACCAGGATGGATAACTGAGGGAATGAATGCTAAATTACTTGATTGTGCTGATGATTTTATAATTCTTATAGGTAAAAAATGTTCTCTGCAAACATACACAATATTAACTTGTCAGTTTTACATCAGTAAAGTTAGAGAAAAACCCACATACTTATTATAAAAGATGTGTTTAGTTTGAAGTCCTAATTCTAGACAGCAATAAATTTAGGAATAGAGGTTAAGGCAAGACATACATTTGAATGTAGATATTACAGACAAGAATGCGATTGAAAAGAAAACAAAAAAGAAAAATCAGCAAAAAACCAGAATAGAAGGAAAGAAGATAAATTAGCATGGTGATGTATGATACTAACCAAGCAAAGACAATGTCCCGAGAAGCAAAAATGGTAGCAGAATGAATATCAGGAAGCAAACCTTAGATTTGAGCATCTGAAAATCACTGATTACTTCTTAAGTTGTTACTTTTTTTTCTGGAAGAGAGAACAGAAGTCCCATTCAGAAGAGTAAGGAAAGAAAGATGTGTGGCAGGTGGTAGAAGCAGAGCATTCTTTGAAGTAGGCACATAGAGAGACTGTGGTAGAAGGAGGATTCTGTCTTGAAGAGGCCATGGCCCAGTTTCTCTGTTAGTTGTGCACATGTTTGTATTGAGTCTTCTGGCTCTTTGAAGGCAGGAATACTTTCTTTTTTATACCTTTGTGTGTCATTCTACCCACAGATGGCATATTTATATTTCATATATATGTGTTTTTTTTCCTTTTTATACATAAAAGGGACAGGGCCAAAGAGAAAAAGCCAGAAAGATTAGAAGTACACGAGTGCCCCTATCCCTGAGTTGTAACCTTCGTCCTGGTCTGCCAGGCCCTTAAACCCTCTCCACTGCCTTCTAGGGTCTCTGGTTGCACAAAGCCAACACCAGGAGATGGTCGCTGAAGTGTCAGGAGATGCGGCTTGGGGGCATTCTAAGTGGTCCCTTCATTGCTAGATGAAATACTCATCCCTGATTTTTGAGTTTTACAGAAACAATTTAAATACCAAAATCACTTAAAGTCTGAGGGATGGAGTGAGAACTTTGAGCCCTACATGGCCTGTATATTTTGCATCATCTTCAAGACCTTGTTGCCTCATGTAGAATGATCTGAACCCCTCAGGGCATGTTGTGTCAATGAATTCCATCCTGCTTTCATTTTTTGAGGTCTGCTATTTTTAGGGTAAATGTAGTAAAAGCTATTTATGATCGAAAAACCCTATAATTGAATGTTCTTTTATTTTTCAGTTTGCAGACAGTAGGTTGCATGCCTCCCCCTGTGTCTTCTGCAGTGATTTTAACCAAAGCAGTTGGTGGAAATGAGGTGAGTCACAAGGGCTTCCTTTCCATTTCAGTGCATGCTGTGTTTTGAACGTAGTTTAAACCTGAATGAGTCATGTTGCAGAAAACTCATAATCACAGCCACTGATGAAAGGAGTGGGTTAATTCATGCACCAAGGGGATGCTAAGATTGGTGGTTATGCGTGGAATTTAGAATTTGAAAGAGAGAAGCCAAGGAGATAAAGAAGCCTTCATGATTTCCTGTACTTTAGTGGGAGCTTGGGACACACAGGACTGAGGAGTCTGAGGAAAAGGACTTTTGTTGCAAGACTCACAGACTGAGGACACCTGCGGTGGCCATTCATTAGTTCTTAGGAAACTAAAAGCCATAAAATTGGTGGGGAAAGGTTGGTAATGATGATAAAAAGAAATCTGGCTAGTTTCCTATGACAATTTTAAAGAAATTTTCCAACTACCGGGGGCTATTGACAAAGTACACTTTTGTATTGGAGTAGCTATGACCCATCTCAGAAGCTGCTTACGGGCGTTGCTTTGTGGTAGAAGGCTTACTGACTTCATACTGAGGGACTTTGGGGACAGCATATTCCTTCTTTTCCACTTTTATCCTCTCCTTCAGAATACTATTGAAAAAGGAAGATCTGTTGGGACCCTGCTTCAATTCATTGTTAAGGTTATGCTGCCTTAGCATCTGTTTTCATTTTTACCAACTTAATCTTTCTAAAAATAATTGTGAAGCATCTGCTGTATTCTTTTATTATAGTAATTTTATTAAAGTATGATTAAAACTATTGATGGACAAGCCCTTGGCTCCATGGTGATTTGGGATGCCTGCATTCTGGGTGTGGTTTGAGTTCTGGTTTTGCTGTTGATAAAGCTTTCTGTCAATATTGTACCCTGGGAGACAGTGGTGACACCTGGCGTATGAAGGCCCTTGCCACTCACTGGGGAGACCAAGATTTATTTCTAGGCTCTCTGTTTTGGCTTGGCCCAGTCTTGGGGACTGCAGGTATCTAGGGTCTGAACCAGCAAGATCTCTTTATCTCTGTGCCTTTTAAGCAGATTGCCTTTTAATTTAGAGTTCCTGTTATATTCTTTTTACAAGTAGGCTTAATAAGACATACAATAAATGAAAAATTGTAAACAATTTAATGTTTTGACATATGTATATACCTGTGACAGTGCCACTGAAATCAAGATACCCAGTCCCCTCTGAAGTCCCCTGCACCCTTTGACATCCCTTCCTCTGGTGCTCATGACTCCTCTTGCTTTGGTTTTGGTCATGACACATTTGTTTGTGCGTTTCCTGGAGTTTTCTATAAGATCTTCATACAAGAAATATTCTTTTTCCTTTTCTGACTTCTTCTACTCAGCACAGTTATGTGTTTTGATTCAATATTACCATTGCGTTTTGGTAGTTCATTCCTCTTTATATGCCACAGTTTATTTATCCATTTGCCTGTTGATGAACCTTTGGACATTTCCCAGTTTTATGCTGTGGGTATCAGTGGACAAATATTTTTGTGGATATATGTGCTCATTTCTCTTAGGAATTGGTAGGACTGGGATGGCTGAATTATCTGGTAGATTTATGTTCTAGAGCAAGGAAGAATCACCTTTATAAATAGCTACAAATCATATGTAAAGACCTTCTGAGATGGATGATTTAATCAATATATAAGCTTCTTTTATCACAGATAAATGTCGATTTTGTAAGAAGCTGCCAAACTATTTTCAAACTGTATCATTTCACATTTGAATTATGCTACATAGAAGTTACCCATTACATTGGCCAGAGTGGTTTTGGTAGAATGCTGTGTCACAAGCTTGGGAGTAGGCCAAAAAAAAAAAAAAAAAAAAGAGAGAGAGAAAGAAAGAAAGATGAGAAGACTCATAGGTAGCTTTGAGGTTCTTAATGATAAAAAGGATTAGAATGGGAATGTGTTTGGTAGGGATGTGGGATCAGGATTTTTTTCAAGTGCGGCTATGACAGTATATTTTCATGATGGTAAGAATGGTACAGAGAGATAGAATTATTGATGGAAGTGTGAGAGACAAAATAGTGGTATAGTATATTTGGCCAAATGAGAGAGAATGCTATCAGGTTTCATGAGTTTCAGTAGGGATTCAGTAGGAGAGAAGCTGGAATGTACAGGCATAGGTGCATGTAGATGGACGGAGCGGCATACTTGGCTGTTCTCTGTTCTCTTCCATGGCTTTTTTTTTAGTGAAGTGGGAAGCAGGGTCAGCTGGGGAAGAGGGAGGTGAGGCAGTACCAGTGTTTGAAAAGTGTTTATTTTTATTGCAAAGCCAGATATACAGAGAGGAAGATCTTCCGTCCAATGATTCACTCCCCAAGTGGCCGCAATGGCCAGCGCTGCACCGATCCGAAGCCAGGAACCTCTTCTGGGTCTCCCACATGGGTACAGGGTCCCAGGGATCTGGGTGGTCCTCAACTGCTTTCCCAGGCCACAAGCAGGGAGCTAGATAGGAAGTGGAGCTGCCGGGATTAGAACCGGTGCCCATATGGCATTCCAGTGCATTCAAGTCGAGGACTTTAGCCGCTAGGCCACGCCGCCGGACCCAATCACATAATTATTTTTATTTGCCAGTAATTAATGAGAGATAGAGGATTTGCATGTGTTTTGTACTAGAAAAGAAAACTATGTTTTGTTTTCCTTTTTTTGTTTTGCCTCGGAAGAGTTTGATATTTAGGTCTGTTAGGGTATGTGTAAGGTAAGTGTTAATTGGTTTGAGGGTGTCATTTATTGCTTTCTTCTTAATGTAATCCTTTAAGAGGTGTATAGTCTATACTGATGTAAATTAAAAGATTAGAAAATCTTTTTGTTCCCAAATGGCTTTGGCACAGCTTCAAAGTTCATCCACTTTTCTGACATTAAAATGTAGCATTAGATTCTCCTGGAGTGTATTTGCATGTAAGTTCATTAGTAGATATAGTATTACCTCATTAATATAAGAACTTAATAATGTGGAATTTAGAAGTGGCTTTTTTGTTTTCTAAAATTGTTGACTTACTACTTTAAATGTTTACATTGTGCAGCCTCAGGACATCAAGCTGTTTTGTAGACTGGAAGAGCAAAGTACAGTTTTTCACCAACCTTGATAATCAACCTTCAGAATCAAGTCTGTAGGGGTCAGTTTGGTCTCATCTTCTGATGTGAAGTGAACAATTTCACATGTAGATTATGGGAGGAAATGGTGTAAAAGTCAGGGCAGTAGATTTTATGTTTATTATGCTTCTAAGTATGTTGGATAGTTGATTAAGTGCTTTTATTGAAGTAAAGTTAAGGGCCAATTCATCTTTTGTATAATGTATTGGGAAAAAAATCTAATCAAAGACTGGAAAGTGGATCTGTTGATGAGTGTAAATGAAGCAATCCAAAGCTGAATCTTGTGCCAGGTGATCAATCAGGGGTAGTGAACCTATTTTCTGCCGAGAGCCATATGGATATTTATAATGTCATCCAGGGACCATACAAAATTATCAACCTAAGAAACTAGTCTGCTGTGGATTGATTGAATTATGAATTCTGCCTGCAGTTGCCTAGCCAGGGTGAGACCAAATGCCTTTACTGGTCTTTCATGTCCCTTGGGCTGGGTGGTCCCCATCCCTACTAGATGAAGGCTTGGATCTCACTCCTTGTGATTTGCTGTTTGGTCCTGCAGGCAGGTTTTTTTGTATGTACATGAGTCTTACCATGATAGTGAAATTGCCGTGGCACATTTCCATGTTGCACTGTCTTCTCAACATGAGTGTGCTTGACAGTGTTTACGACATGTGCAAAAAACTTTTTCCCTCTTCACCAGTTCCTGCCATGTCCATGGTGTGTGGGGACTGGGGCTTACCATTGGTACTGTATAGCTGTTGTGACATTTAGACACCTCTCAGTTAGGGTGAGGGGGTCAAAGTTCCCTGCACACATGACCCAAGATCACAGCCCTAAACCACCACCCTCCTCCCATTCCCTTCCAACAAGCTGGCTGTTGTTTAAAAGCAAAATTGGGAAAGGACCACAGCTCTGGGCACTCCAATTGTGCCAACAGCACTACCCAAAAATGGCCTTGAACACCAGAATGCCAACTGGCTGGAGACCTTCCAGGCCTCACTGGGATGGTCTGAGCAGGGGCTGTGGTTTTACCACCTGCCATCCTTTCTCCAGGGCATCACACACACAACACACACACACACACACACACACACACACACACACACACACACACACACACACACACACACACACTCTTTCTCTCTCTCTCTCTCTCTCTCCAACCAATCCTTTTATCCCATAATAGGGCACTGCCCAGGATGTCAAGGTTGAAAATAAAGGAATCCTAAGTGCTGAAAACAAAACAAAACAAAACAAAACAAAACAAAGAACCGTTTTCCTTCAGGATTCTGAGTCAGTAACTTCTTTATGTTATGTTTATGTTCTGGTGTAAGTACGTACCACAACTTTATGTAAAATATGTGCATGTTTATTGTATACACTTAGGTAGTAAGGAAAATGTATGGTTGTGCAGCATGTTTGTTTTTAATGGTTTGGGGATATATACACATATAATGATATTATTTGAAATGATTTATTTATTTTGTTAAGTGGTTAGTGTAGTGTAGTGAACTTGCAGTTTAGATTTTGGCAAGAAATAGCCTTCTTAGTTTTTGTTAAGTTTAAAAAGTGATTTCTACTATTGTAACTTAGGTTATTTTTGCTTCAGTGAGCCAACTACAATTTATGATTACTTTTGTATCAGAAGGAACTTAATGTATGTTCATAGTTCATAGCACTACTTGTATCTCTTTTAGGTATTTATGTGAAACTGTTTTTAGGACTGGCAATCTTGCTTTGTGCCTTTTCAATTTTAAACTGTTTTTACATAAATACTTGATAGGCAAGTTCTTTTCGTGATTATTAATATTCATTCCATTTTAATTCAGTTTTGAAAAAATACAGAATCACCCAGTGTACTGCTGACATAGGCTAGCTGGTGAAGAAATCGTGAGGA